GTTCATTTTATAAGGTACAATAGGTCATTGGCTCTTTTGGCTCCAGGAAAGAACCATTTCTGGACCTTCCTGACCTTTTATCTAACTCCATCTCTTCTAGAACCCCAAATTTAACTTTTATAAGAGGATGGGAGGAAGACGCTCGTCTTGTGTGTGAGGTAGGGGTGGTCTAGTGTGGGGGTGGTCTCTGGCCTCCACGTGGCCAATGCTTAAAGACCTAGGTCTAGGGAGAGGGGTTTGTTTCTGATGCTCCGCCCCCTCACCTAACAGGGAAGCGCAGGAATCTGCCGAGAGAAAGTATCTTGTTTGGAGCTTGCAGGCTATTTTTAGCTAGTATTTTTAGCGTTTAAAAATACTCGGAGAGGCAGCAGTGAGCGCTGTTACTCATCTGTGGGTTGCTTCTGTTCCTCCCGGCAAGCGCATCCCCACATGTACACGCGTACTGCGCACACGACCACAGCCACATGGGGATTGCGTTCGAGATGTTTGCGTGGGTTGTACCCTAGGCCACCCACAAAGTATGGAATTTGGTGCCAATAGGTGGGGAGTACGGACAAGTCTCTCACCATTATGTCCCCGGCAGTGATGAGGGAAGGAGGCGGGAGCAGGAGCCTCTAGGCATTGAGGGGCGGCGGTCACGGTTGGAGGCACGATCTTCGGACTTTGCCCCAACCTTGAACCGTGGACACACGGCGACAGCCCTTTTCACCAAGCTTCCGTCTTTGCAGCTACACCCTTTCCCAGGGTGCAGCTCCCACACTGGGCGCATCAGTGCTCGCATTTGATCACAGCAATGCTGTAAGGTAACTAGAGCATCTTGCACGTGGTCCAGGAGGCTGTAAAGCTGTCTGTCTGTAGCCTCTTTCCATGATCATCACCCTCGTGCTTCTCAGATCCCTGCCACCAACTACCTTGCTTCTATTCTGCTCTCAAGAAACAGGGCTTGAGCTGGGTAGATGGCCTGGTAGGTAAATGTGCTTGCCTCCAAGACTGACTATCTGAGTTTGATCTCCAGGACTCACATGGCCAAAGAAGAAAACCGACCCCCACAAACTGTCTTTTGACTTCTAGGCTTACAAAACAAATAATTTTATTTTGACACAGGGTCTAACTAGGTAGTACTGAATGACCAGGAACTTGCTATGTAACCTCATAGAGGTCCTCCTGTCTCTGGCTCATGAGTGCTGTGATTTAAGGCAAACCATGCCTGTATTATTATTATTATTATTTAAAGAAACACAACTACGCCAGGTAGTAGCATACGCCTTTAATCCCAGCACTCAGGAATCAGAGACAGGTGGATCACTGAGGCCAGCCTGGTCGACCAAGTGAGTTCCAGGACAGCCAGGGCTATAGGAAGAAACCCTGTCTCAGAAAAAAAAAAAAAAAAGCCAACCAACCAACCAACTAAACAAACAAAACAACAACAAAAAGCACAACAGAACTAGGTGAGAATGGCACCCCATAATCCCAGCAGCACTCAGAAGACTGAGGCAGGAGGATTGCTAGTTTGAGGCAAGCCTGGGCACATTTTCTCCAGCAGTGTAGCTGCTGCTAAGGTGCTATTCTCCTGGAATAACCTCTTATCCATGCCCCTGGTAGCCACTCTAGGGAAACTCACTGGGTCACCAAAAGGGAAAAGTAGAAGAGGGACTCCTTGGGAAGATGGAGGTCAGCAGAAGTGATAAGAGAGGGTGACGGGGAGGAGCTAGGGGAATCTGATCAAAATATGTTAGGAGCATGTATGAGAATATCATAATGGATTCATTATATATATATGTATATATATATATATGTATATATACATATATACAGAAAACACTGAAATCACCCTGAGGTGAGGGCTGGTAAGATGGCTCATCTGGTAACACCATTTGAAAATAAATTTGGCAACTTATGCTCTGCCTTCCACCCCCATGCTTAGACAAGGGTGTGACCACACGCAATAAACGAATATAATAAAAACACTCATGCTGGGATGCAGTTCAGTTGGAGTGTTTGCCTAGCATCCACAAAGCCCTGGATTTAATCCCCAGCACCGCATAAACTTACATATATAATACCGTGAGATGAGAAGTTCATGGTCATCACTAGGTATATAGTCAGTTCAAGGCTGGCCCAGATAATGGCCTAACGCGTGTACGCGCACACATACCCCAAAGCTGCTGCTATTAAGTCCCTTGAAAGACCAAGCAGTGGTCTATGGGCTTTATGTATATTACCGTAGTTATACATAGTCACACCATGAAGCTGTGACTATTACTTTAGTTTATAGGTGAAGGACCTTAAACAGTGCTCTGCCAGAATGCAGAGCTAATAAGTGACTGTGTAGAGCTTGGAACCCAGACTGTCTTACGGACAAACTCACACTTTTAACAAGTGCTAAGAAACTCTAGGATGGTCCTCCTTTCCTCTGCCTATTTATACATTCTAAAAACTTGACTTTGTCCAGGTGTGGTGGTACACAACAGTGATTCCAGCACTTGGGAGGTGGAGGCAGGAGGGTTGTAAATTTGAAGCCACTCTGAGTTACATAGTAAGACCATGTCTTTAAAAAAAAAACAACCAAAAAAACAATGAGCTAACCAACCAACCAAACAACACACCAGTTTTCTGAGCAGATGGAAGCCTCTGGGTTTGATCTCTTGGACCATACAAACCAGACCGAATCAACTGCTTGGGTCTGGGGTGGTTCCAGTTCAGTGGTAGAGCTAGGCCTTGAGCATGATTCCCAGAACAACAAACAAAACAGCAACCTTGAGCTTTCTATAAAGCCTTCCCTTAATAATTTCACCCAGTTCTAAATACCCGTCAGTTCATCCCCTCAATTTGCACGCTGTTCATCGGAATATGTTTCTCTTTGTTTTATGACTGTAGAACTTGCAAATACTCTCAGATGGTGTGTGGCTGTTTTGGTTGCTCCAGCACCCAGGGACCTCCTCTAGGACAGGGTTGGAGGTTCCTTAATGAGGTCTTAATGAAAAGGACCAGACCAAGCTCTGCTGGGAACCCTGCAGGTTGCAGTTTTCCTCAAGGGGGATGGGTGTGCCTGGTTTTACATGCCAAGCAAGGGTGCTGTGGGTGAGGGTGCTGCCCAAAAGATGCTCACCCACTGTAGCAGTCAGCCGCTGTCTTAATTACATGTGCACTCCCATCTTGGCTTTGCGCCAGCATGCTCTCCCTCTTTCCTGGGATGCAGGAGGTTGCAGGGGAGGTGTGGGTGTTTCTGGGAGCAGGGAGGGACAGATGGGAAAAGCTGTTGCATGGGAGTATTTTGAGAAATCTAGGGTGAGGGAAACAGATTCACACAGCGTCCAGTCTTGTCCGGCAGGTCTGGCTGCTGCAAGATGCAGTCAGCAAAGATCTATAGCTTACTTCTCAACTAGCTAAGTTTCTGTGAGACCCCCTTCTCTTCAGAGCCTTCTTTCTGAAGTGGGCTGGGTAAAAAGGAGATACTCTTTTAGGGTCTGAATCTGTCTGAAGCTCCATGACTCTAGTCTGAAATACACAGAGCCAAGTGGGGCCCCAAGGCTGCCATTCCTCTGGGCTAGGGCAGGACATTTTCTTTACTTCAGTCAGGGTTAGGTCTACAAGGACAGGGACTGAAACCATGCTGCTGCTCTCAGATCGCAGTGGGCAGCTCTGGCCAGGTGACAATGCTGGGGCTCGGGAAGCTGTTTCAAGGCCATGGCCGCAATCCTTGCAAGTGTCTGTCGTTGTCACAGAAACAGACTGCGGCTTGATGGAGGCGTGGAAAAGCAGGGGTTCTGGGTCTTGGGGGAGGGGCTGGGCTTCCAGCCCACAGTGTACCTTGGGGAGGAGGGTCAGTTTGCCTTCCCATCATCTCCAGGAAACTCTGCCTCCTTGAATGAATCAGACCCCCACCGGTCAAATGTTCTGTGCTCCTCCAAGCCTCAGGAAATCTGGCCTGAACCAGTCAAATTCTAGAAGCCCACACACTTCCTTCTCTTGCCTATAGCTCTGTCTCGGGTGCCAGTTTTATGTATCCACTGAGGTAAGAGGGGACAAGGGACCACGTGTACAGCTCAGCTCTGAACATGATGTTTGTTTCTGAGGCTGATGGTCAGTGGAGCGGGTCCCCCAGGGGCAGGGAACATTTTGCTAGGCTTGGATTAACTTGTGTTCCTTTGCTCCACCCCAGCACGGTATTAACTTATGGCGACATCCTGGAGTTTGTGTGGTGTGTGTGTGTGTGTGTGTGTGTGTGTGTGTGGTGAGTGTTGAAGGGAAGACAGAATGGATGGAGGGTTATGGGCACCAATTAAGAAGTGGAGCCAGGTAAAGCAGTGCCAAGAATGGTGCCAGGTTCACAGCCTATAGTCTTCACTGGACGGACGTTAGGACAGCACTGTTTCCAACAGTCGGTTCCAAACCCACTCCCCTGCCCTCCTAAGTAGTGAGAACTTGTCCTGGCCAGGGGACTCTCAGTGTTTCCTCTGAGTGACCTTCTCAGCACAGACTGAAGCTCTCAGGCAGTTTGGCCTCTTCAGAGAGACTGAGCCTGGCTGGGGTGGACCAGGTAAGGATGGGTCCCAGGGTCAAACAAGAGAGAGCAGAGGTACAGTCCAGTGTGACTGAGTCAACAGAGAGGGAGGTCCACTTTTTGTCCTGGAGTTCTTGGGCAGTCACTGTCACCCTCCACTTGTTCTCACTGCGGGGCACCATTCAAGTCCAGAGTCCCACCCGAGAGGTGGGTCACATGTACTTGGTTTATATAATCTCCCTGTCACTGAACAGCTGGAACCCAAGGCTTCAGAAGATGAGTCAGCAGCCCCCGTGGCAAACAGGACCAAGAGATTCCATCACTTCTAGAAACAGGTCCCCCAGCAGAGAGAGAAAGGGCAGGGCGGTAAGATTGTGTGCGGCAGAGGACAGCCTAGTCCCAGCGTGGGTCCCTCAGTTCCTGGTTCTGTTGTGGAGGAGGCAGGTACCTAGCCTGCTGACTGTGCTGAGGAGGGCCCTGGGCCAACCCTTGCCTCTTCTTGGGGAGAGGAGGTGAGGCCTGGGCGGGGCAAGTGCAAGGCCTGAGGCCAGCAGGCAGGGTGCCAGGGCTGGCCAGGGAGCAGCTGGGGGGTGGATCATAGGAGGATTAGAAAGGATTGTAGGGGTTAAAGCACAGGCCTGGCAGTGCTCAGCGGGAACAGCTTGTCCTTCCATAGGCCCGGGAACAGAAGAGGTGGGGCGGAGGAGGGGGGCAGCCTGGGTTGCTGCTCTCTGGCTCTAGATTGCAGGGCTGAGCCACCTGGGCTGGTTTGCAGTCCTCACTGGGAGAGTGAGTTTATTCCTTATACCTTGGTGGCTCCTGGCTCATTCTTCTCTATTTTTGGTGAACCGGAGCCTCAGGGGAGCCCCTCACAGTCCCAGGGTTGAGCTGCGCCCTCACCCACTACATTCTTCCCTACAGGTTATCTGCTCACACACGGTGGAGCGTGTGAAGCTCCAAGTGAAGGTTGTCCGTTACTGTTTTAGAGGCTTGAGATGCCTCCACCCTCACTGCTGCTTTGAGCCTTGTGGCATTCCTATGAGGTAGGTAAGGCAGGTGTGAGCACTCACTTTTATAGAGGAGGAAAGGCATCTGAGCCACCCAAGGTTAAAGGGTCAGACTGTGTCTTTCAGAGGTCACGGACAGCCTGGCTTATCCTCAGGTGACCTCTTCCTTCTCTACCGCTGAGGACACAAACATTCAAGTCTGCCTCCTATCGTAAGCAGGTAAGAATGGATTTCCTGAGGTGAACTGAAGGCAGGAGCTGGCACGCACATTCCCGCCTCCCCGAAACACGCGGCCAGGTGCAAAGATGACTGACCTTTCCTGAGCACCTACTGTGTGAGCACCTACTGCGATCTGAAGCACCTACTGCGTGTCTGAGCGCCTACTGTGAGCACCTACTGCGTGTCTGAGCACCTTCTGTGTGCACCTACTGTGTGTCTGAGCACCTTCTGTGAGCACATACTATGTGTCTGAGCCCCTACTGCGTGTCTGAGCACTACTGTGAGCACCTACTGCATGTCTGAGCACTACTGTGAGCACCTACTGCGTGCCTGAGCACCTACTGTGTGAGCACCTACTGCGTGTCAGTAGTGTTCCTCTCCTCTGGTCCAGTAATTTGTGCAATGGGACCTGTGGGCGCTTTCATTTTACAGAAGAGCAGACAGCTTCACCTGAAGGGAACTGCCCGGGAAAGCCGGGTACTAGGTTCCAAGTACTGAGTGCTAGGTGCAGAGTACTGAGCTAGGAAGCAGAGCACCATGAAGATGCTTTGTTTTAGAAGGAAGTCATCTTTGGAGAACAGAGAACTGGAAAGCTTATGAGGGGGCAGATTTCAAGGCTTCTACCCTTACTGCTTCAGGATACAATCAGCCCCCGGAAGTGAGCACAAGAGGGCGGAGGATAAGTTAAGGTCTATAGGCCAGTGAGACTTTGGAGGTCTCTCCTGGCTGGTGGGATTGAGTGGGGCTCAGGATGAAATGCTAGCTCAATTAGGGCATCCTTGACCACCAAACAGTGCCGTGTCTTGCTTCTGGGTGGGAGGGGATGGCGAGGCTGGGGACCGACCTTGCCCAGGATATGTGTTCCTTCTATTAGGTCCTTTCTGAAAACAAGTCTCTCTGGCTCTGGAGTGAGGTAGGGTCAGGTATCTCCAGGAGCAGTGGTGGGAAAGGGGGCAGTAGACTTCAGAAGAGTTGTACCCAGGCTGTGAGGGATCTGACTCCCAGTAAGGACAGACCACACTCTTGTGACAGCGGATGATGGGAGTCTGCAGTTCAGCCTTTGGCCAAGAAGGCTTCAGCCTTAGCATGCTTAGGCAACCATAAACCTTGTAACAGGGCAGATTTGACGGCACTATCAGAACATCTGGAGCGTGTGATCCAGAGGCCTGGTGAGCTGCTAAGTGATCCCGACGCAGGCTACCTGCAGACTCCATGGAGAAGCAAAGCACGCATATACAAGAAGAACTCCTTTTTTCTCCACAAAGGAAGAGCCAGCAGAGGCTCCCTCCACCCATGGGAGCATTGCCCCTCACCCTCACCCCCGTGAACAACACTGGGCATGTCCCAGTGCACCTTGCTCCATCCCATGTCTGTAGCCAACCCTAACGGTTAGGGTACAAATGTTCTGGGAGACACAGTGTTAGATCTACCATGACACTTCCCAGATGTCCCAGCCAGGCCGAAACACTTTAAGGAGCATTACCAAAGTTGTTCCAAGACCTTTCATCATGACACACTATAGCTTATGACCCAACTATGGCCCCAGGTCCTGAATGCTTCCCCTGAGTGTCTGAACAAACTCTCTAAAGCACCATTTCTTCTTGTGGCATGGCTCTCATTTACGTTCTATGAGGAGGGGTACAAAAGGAAACAGAGAACACGGCACCCAACCCTCTTGTCCACACGCTTGCCTACTTCTATGTTCTTCTGCCCATTAATCCACCCACCCACACACCCCTCCCCTCCCCCAGACCCCACCTTCCAATCTAGTCACTCATCCATCCATCCATGCAATCAGCAGGTCAGCTGAGCTCTGAGTTGCGGGAGGCACCCGGGGAGGGAGGCAGAGATAGGATCATTTGAAATCTCCGAGAGCTCGCCACCTAATGGACACACCAATAACTACAGGAGAGGCAGAATGTAGTCACTGCCCCAGGGGAGGTGTGTTCAGGGATTATATGAGAGCGGAGACCACGCCAGCCCTTGGTCAATCTCCAGCAGAACCTCTTCCCTCATTCCAGCCCAGTCAGGGCTGGAGTATTGCGGTATTAGATAATCCCCAGACAAAAGACTCTGCACTATTTTCTCCAAAGACACAAATCCTCCTATCCAGATACTCTGGATCTGAGCTGCCAGCGTCAGGGGAAGAGTTCTACTCTTGATATCTCATGGGAGGAGTAGGGATGAGGTGGGAGGATGGCTCTCTTCACACAGAGAGCACTGTGGTCACCTCCACTCTGGCATCCATCCCTGGATGGACCAGGGCCTACATGGGACCCTGACATTTTGGATGGGAAAGTACAGGGTGAAGAACAATGCAGACAGGGGTATCTGAACATTCTAGAGCATCTTTGAACCATTCCCAAGTGTGAAAGGCTTTGGAACCTGGGTCTGCCCTTCCCCTCAGCTCTGAGCCATGGGGCCACCATGCTGGGATGACCTCTCTCTTACTTGTCTTCACTAGTGCTGTCATCAAACATCGGTCAGGTTGGGAGTTCTGTTCCTAGCCTGGTCCTTTATAAGTCTGTCTGTCTCCCCAGCCCATCACAGGATCCCCAAGAGTAAACTCACCATGGTGTCTTGCCCTGGGGAACTGGAGCGGCTGGGCCCAGAGACCTGGCCCTTGCCCTTCTCCCACAGTGTATAGCGGCCACTTGGTCGGTAGGTGGGACTGAGGACTTCAGGGACTCGGGAGGGAGGGGCTTGGGTGACCACCTGTGGTGCACTGCCCTTGCGACCATAGTTCTCCAGGTAGTCTGTTAGGTACTCATTGCGGCTGGCTGCTTGGTAGAGGCCCTGCAGGGCACAGAGCTCCTTACGGGTGCGGGCCAGCATGGGGCTGCGGCCCAGGTTCCCCGGGTCTATCCGGTAGCCATCTGAGGTCCGGTAGCCATCTGAAGTCCGGTAGCTATCTGAGGTCCGGAGGCTGGAGAAATCCCGGGCCAGGTCTGAGTGGCTGTTCGATTTCTTCTGGCTCAGGGTCACCCCCTGGTCTCGGGCACTCATGGGCAAGTAGCTGAGGGAGTTGCTGGTCACTCCATATGTGAATCCACTGCCTCCGTTGAGTCCACTGCCTGAAGGCCTTTCATTGCCCCGGGTCTGGCTCTCAGTACGTTTACTACCCCCAATGATGTCAGGTCTCAGCATGGGGCGGCCCCTGTCATAGTCCAGGATGGAGGAGGGGCCGTAGGTTCGGGGCCGAGGGAGGAAGCTGGTTGGGGAGACCGGCTTGAAACCAAGTTTTTCCTTCTCCAGGAAGGAGGTGGCCAGGTTGGCCCCATAGGAAGAGGGGGTGTAGGTGCCATAGCCCGATTTGGCATAAGGGGCATCTGTGTAGCGGGACGACTCTGTATAGCGCTTCAGGGTGGAGGAGAGCTGGGACATCCTTCAGGGTGGCACTCAGTGGGTACTGGGAGCCTCATGGGCTGAAAGACAAGGAAAGCAGTTGTCAAAGTGTCCTGCAAGGTGCCAGGCTTACTCTGTGCTTGCTTTTTATGCCATATGGGCCACAACCTTAAGACCTAACAGGCGCTACTCAGGGCCTGCCCACAAGAGGCTGGCTAGTTTCAGAGAAATACATATGCAAACAGGTATGTACAAGGGCTTGTGTGTACCATGAACACACAAGAGAAATCAGCATCTGTTGCGGTTCCTTGATTCTTCTAAGACCCAAACATTCATTTTCCCGGCCCTCTATGTCACACACAACCTCTAGGCAGATCCCACCCTGGGCTTCTGGTAAGTCTTGGCAGGAACTTCAGAGCTGTTGGGGGTTGGAGGAGTCCCGCCACCTTCACTGTCTGGACTGAGGACAAGGAGTATTTTGAGTTACAACTGCTTCCCTACCTTTGGCAAGCAATACTCCTTCAGGTACAGACTGCCCCCTGGAAATGTGCTGATGATCACAGGGCCAGATTCCTCATGAGGAAAAAAAAGGTCTCAGGAGAGGACGTGAGCTAGAGGAAGTGGTGAGGGAGTGTCAGGCGGAGGGGCTGGACCAGACCTACCTCAGTGCTCTTCCTTGGACACAGGCACCTGCTGCTTGGTCACCCAGTGAGGGGTACACTGGTAACATAGAACCTATCTTCTTCCTTGAGTTTGGTGTAGTCTAAGTGGATATTGGGAACCTATGGTCTAGGAGGTTTCCTGATCAAAGCAGGTGCCAAACTACTCCCAGTTACTTGACTTGTGCAAGAGGCGCCCCCTAGAGTCAAGATCCTGTACTGCAGAAGAGAGTCCCAGATTTAAGTGTTTTTGCGCATTAATCACTGAATGTGGAGGTTGGACAGCCCTAAAGGTCATACATTTTTAACCTCTCTATTGTACAGATAGGAACAGTGGCGGTTGTTTGCCCAAATTCACATGCTAGCTAGAGTCAGGACTGGAACCCAGGTCGTGGCCCAGCACTCTTTCCCCTCAGCCTTGAGTTAAACTGGTCTAGAGATGCCCAGAATCCCTCCACCATGGGGCAGCAGTGGAGAAGGTGCTTTGGAGAAAGGAGCAAGGAGCATTAGGTTCCTTTCTTCAGGCACTCTTGAGTCAGGGGCTCGGATGGAGGCCTATCCAGGATTCTCAGAGTAGCATGTGATTTAACTTCCCCTCCCCCACATCCCGTGTGTGTGTGTGTGTGTGTGTGTGTGTGTGTGTGTGTGTGTGTATGTGTGTGACACACATGAAAGTCAGAGGACAACTTGTGGGAGTCAGTTCTATCCTTCCACCATGCTTAGGCTTTAGGGTTTGAACGTGGGTCGTCAGGTTTGGTGGCAAGTGCTTTTTGACTTGCTGAGCCATCTCACTGGCTCCAGGGTTAGTTTTGACTCCCCCGTGACAGGCTAGCTGAGCAAAATTACCCTAGTTATTCAACCTCTTTGAGCCCCAATTTCCTCACGTGTAAATGAGCATAATAATCATCAGGAATCCTATCTCGTTGTTGTAAGGAATCAGGGAGATAATCACACGTGAAAGCATTTAACAATGGTTATTATCTCCTCCGTGGCCCCAGCCAGGCAGCCCGGCTCCTCCCTTCGTAGTCTATAATAATGGTAGGGTTGGCCATCTCCTGGCTTGGCTGGCTTAACCTCAGCTCAGGCGCCAGGCTTCCCCCTGCCACCCCCAGTGAGTTAAGTGGGCAGTGGGCAGACATCTGGCCATTCAGCAGACACCGGCTCAAGCAGCCCACAGCTTGCTTAGGCCAACAGCCCAGCTTACTAGGGCAGCGAGCAGTTTGTGCCAAGCCCCAAATGCTGAGAGCTTGGCAAAAGGCTACAGAAACGCAAGCTACTCATTAAGGCTTGGGATAGAGGTAGAGGTGCAAGGTGAGCTGGTGGCCACAGGACAGTGTTCCTTATCTGTGCCAGAGACCTCCAGCAATTGTGAGTCCTGGCTGGCATTAGAAAGCCTGTCTATCTCTACTGTCTGTCCTTTCCTTGCCTGGCTCAGGGGACCCCAACACCCCACACGCACACTTCCTTATCTACTATGTTCCCTCTTCCCATGCAACTTCCACTCTGCTCAGGGAAATAGTAACTGGGGGAGGATCTGAAGCAGGGATAGAGGGAAACCACGGTGGTGGGGGTGTGGCAGGCAAAGGCTTAGGGATGGGGGCAGGGGATCTGTCCTGCTCTATTTCACTTTGGAGAGCTCCATCAATAATGCAAAGTCAAAGAGACTACAGGTCTCAGGATCTGGACTCTGGGACATACAGCAGCCAATCAGATTGCCCCCCCCCCACCCCCAGAGTATGAGCTCATGGCTCCTCCCCACGGCTCTCCCTCCCTTCTCCCAGACTGAGGCTCCTAGGGAATTGGTATTCTGCGGGCAGTGCCCCAAGCCTGTGACCTCTCTTAGCCCTGAGAATGACGCACAAGTGCCCAGGCCAAACAAGATACAGCAACAGGGACAGACAGCGTTGGCACTGTTAAGGCTTGGACACATCTTCTAGCTCACAGAACCCTGGGGAGGGCTCCCCAATCCCAGCTCTCTTGCCTGCTCCAATCAGGCAGGCAACTGCCAAGCCTCTCTTCTCCCCTCCCCCCAGTTCCACCAGTTACTCCATCACAGCCTCAGGGAAACTGCCTCACAGTTTCCAGGGCTAGGAGAGGATTCTCTTGCACATTCCACCCCCCTAAAACCCCTCTACTCTTAATGGAGAAAAGTCCCAGGACCTTCTAGGTGAGAGACAATTTAAGTTGGTATCTCTTGGCATTACCTGGTTCTGCAGTCCCTGGAGGCTACAGAATGCACCATGGGCGGGAGCCTCTGTTGGGGATCTGGCTGTGGCCTTGCTGCGCAAGACAGGGACAGGAAGGGCAGCACTCACATGGCTTCGAGTCTCCCTGTTGCCACAGGAACGGCTGGGACTGAATGGCTCTTTCATGGGGCAGTGGGAGGCTAGCCTATTGGCTGGGATCCCCCATACTCCTCCCTGTCCAGCGTGGGGCCCCTGCTGCCTGGCTCCTTTCATTGTTTATCCACAACTGGCAAGTTCAGGCATGTGGCTCCTGTCTGTGCCTCCCCAGGTGCCTGCCACCTTGGACAAGGCGGGTAGTCCCAACTCATGTTCCTTCTTCATGCCATCTTTATGGAGGTGTTGTTGTTTCCCTTTCTGAGGTTCCCCATCGTTTCGCAAAAATTTCCCCAGAAACTGGTGTGCTGGCATTGTTGCGCATAGACACATTCAGCTTCCTGTGGGGACACGGGAGC